CGGTTTTGACATCTTTCTTCTTCCTTGTAGAGCTAAACACCGCCTATAACTCCATAATTCAGTCTTGTTAAGGAGCGGCGCTCCGGAGCGCCGCTACATTTTTTCAAAAAAAGCTGGAGCGCCCCTCCTTTTTAAAAATGAGGAGCGGGAGCGGGAGTAGCTCCTTTTAGGGCTGGAGCGCTCCTCCGCTCCTTTAAATTTAATATATAAATTATATTATTTTTTAAATATTAATAATATTTGTTAATTAAAATTTAATGAAAATAAAATTTTATTTAAATTTATTCATTATTAAATGTTGAGCCGAGTTTTATATTGATTTTTCATCTAATCATTTGAAACATTAAACATCAGTTTTTCCTTTTATATTGAAAATTTTTTGAAAAATCTTGTAAGTCATATTAATATTCATTTTATAGATATATAAATTGGGAATGGATATAAGATCCAAAAAATATGGAACTAAAAGCCAGATTAATTAATTTTTTAAGGAAACAAATACCCGACGGAAAAATAGCTACAACTAGTTCACGGGAACCTTGTATCCATGAAATCGATTACCATGAAAATAATATATTGGATAGATATTTTTTAAATAATGATAGCAAAATTACTATTTTTGAACATTTCCATGAATTAAAAAATATTTATATTAAATACAATACCCCGCTTCCCTCTAGTGCTCTTGTGGAGCGCCTATTTAGTATCGCAAAACAGGTCTTAGGGGAGAAGCTGTTTGTTAGATTCTAATTTAGAAAATTTATTACTTTTAAAAGCTAATAAAAGATTATAAATATTTTGATATATCATATAATATAAATAAAACGTTTTGATAAAAAAATATGATTTTGTTTCGTGTACCTTCTAAAAAAATGAAAATCAAAGGAGCGGTTATGGAGCGGCACTCCATTAGTTGGAGCGGGAGCGCTCCTTTTAATATGTAGTAGCGGGAGCGGGAGTTCGCTCCTTTTGAGAAGGGCGGGAGTCGCTACTTTTAAAAAGGAGCGTTAACAAGACTGCCATAATTATATGATTTAAACTAAAACAATTTGTCTCAAGCCAAATTTCTTTCTTTCTATCTGGTAGTATTTTAGGATATATCTTCGTTACATTTTGATTACTTATATTTCTTTCTTAATAAGTAAAATAAGTAAAATAATTTTGAAATACATAATATATATGTTGTATTCCATATTATATCAACCAAAAAAAGTCGATTCTCAACCCGACCCTCTTCGAATTTTTTAAAAATTTACATGTTGGTAGTATATAAACTAATAAAATTTTTAAATTTTACTTTTCAAATCGGCTTACTTCATGAGATATTGCCATCTTTAGAAACGCGAAAATTCCAAAATAAACTATATTTCATTTTAAATATCTCAAAAAGTAATTAAGCTAAAGATATTTAAATTTTATTTAATACCTCTAGAATAGCCCTTTAATAAGATATAAAATTTATTTTATTGAAAATAGGTTTATTACCAAAAATCGGAAATGGCTTTAAAATAACAATTGCTCTTTTTTTTTCTTTCAAATTTTTTTTATAGACATTTTACTTCTTAATATTTGTACACAATCCTAGATTGGGTCGAGTACTGGGCCAATAGTTATTACACTTTAAATATAAGTAGTACGGCTTAAATTCTATAGTATATCAAATGTATAGTAATTTACGAAACAAATATAAAATAAATTTGTTTGGGATCGGGCCGGAAATATTTTTTTATAAAACTTTCTGGCCATGTTAGAAAAATTAGGCCCCATGCAGATCACTAGTAGACATTGTGTCATATTTGACACATAAGTTTAGGTATTTTATTTTAGAAAGAAAATAATTGTAAAACTATTTATAACTTTGTTTAGCTAATTATTTACATTACATGAATATCCATGGGAAATTAATATTATAATAAACATATTAATTTTAATTATATAATATCATACATTAAATAATCTAATGAATTAGAATAAAATTTGACTTTCATTTTTCCTTCCATTGAAATAAATGAATGATATATATTTTTGTGTCCCGGGAATTCGTTTGGCCGTTAAAAATCTATTTTTGAGATTGGTTTCCATTCTTAAATATTCAACGTTGCTGACAAATATGTAATTAATCCCTGGGATATTAGTTCTCGCATAATTATATAAATCCATAGGAGTTAGTATATGATTTTTATAAGGACGTTGTAGGCTTGCTCTAGCCGCCCCTCTTAGTTATTCTCCCTAAACTATTGCAAGGAGTTTTGCCATGTGCAGTTGCAAAAAATTGTCATTCTTCCTTGATCCCAAAATCATTATAATGGTTGCAGAGTTTTACAAATTTTTTTTATTTTTATACTGGGCAACATGCTCCATCAGAAAAATAAAAAATTATTGAAATCTTATCAAATCTTTCTTTCAAGAAGGAACAAGTATTGTGTTTTAGACAATATAAGTAACTTACATGTTTGATTATATCGCCTTCGCGGTAATAAATCATAAATGGATGAAGTGTTGCCTGATTATTAGTTCAATGAAAACCTTGAACGTGATCTTGAACTACAAAAGCCTAGTTATCTGCAAAATCGGATGTTATTAGATATTCCCCATCCTTCAAATTCGATTTTAATGACTTAAAAAATGAAAATTGTTCCTAAGAAAAATATATAGATTATATAAATTTTAAACTATGGTTGGCGGCAGACCGTACCACCGACGATAATTAAGTCCGCCAGCGAATTTGAGGAATATTTGATTGAAAATTTAAATATTTTAATTGCACATGCAATCATTAAAATCAAATTTAAAGGATGGGGAATATCTAATAATATCCGATTTTGCAGAGAACTACTCTTTGGTTAAGATCAAGCTCAGGGTTTCCATTGGAATAATAATCATGCAACACTTCATCCATTTATGATTCATTACCGCCGCGATATCATAAAACATGTAAGTTACATGGTTATATCAGATTGCCTAAAACACAATACTTGTTCCTTGTATTTATTTCAAATAAAATTAATTGTATTCCTGAAAGAAAGATTTTGTAAGATTTCAATAATTTTTTATTTTTCTGATGGAGCTTGTTACCTAGTATAAAATAAAAAATAAATGATTTTGGGATCAAGGAAGAATGGCAATTTTTTGCAACTGCACATGGCAAAACTCCTTACAAATATTAAAAAGTAAAATGTCTATATGTAAAAAAATTTGAAAGAAAAAAAGGAGCAATTTTTATTTTAACCATTTCCGGTTTTGGGTAATATTCTTATTTTCAATAAAATAAAAAGGGCTATATTCTAGAGCTATTTAATAAAATTTAAATTATGTCTTTAGCTTAATTACTTTTTAGATATATTTAATTAAATATAGTGTATTTTGGAAGTTTCGCGTTTTTAAAGATGGCCATATCTCATGGAGTAAGCCGATTTGAAAAGTTAAATTTTACATTTTTGTTAGAGTATATACTACCAACATATAAATTTTTAAAAAATTCGAAGAGGGTTGGGTTGAATCTTCAGTTGATTTGATATGGAATACAACATATATTATATACAAATATTTAATTTTACAAACAGATTTTTAAATAGTTAGAACATTGTGTTTTCTAATTATTTCTATTTTCAAATATTATTAATTTTTTACGATTTTATATTATAAACTTTTATATAAATTTGAAGATTTTTATATAATAAATATGGATAATTTCGAAATTTTTTGAAAAACAACATTTAATTTTTAAGATTAAAAATTAATTAATTATTATATTTTGAAAATATAATTAACACAAATAAACGACCTAAACTATGAACCAATCAACGGGTTTTGATTGTATCAAGAAACAATTGCTACAGATATCATAAGAAAGCCTGTAGTTAGTAAACAAGATTAATTAAGAAGAGGACCCTAGGAAGCAATTGGCTATTTGAGAATGGTGTTAGTACCCACCAGTCCAAGCAACCAAACTGATTCAAAAAAGGCTTAATGTAAAGACTTTTGATAATCAAGGAAACATTGGTTGACTAGAAAGGTGGAAGGGAGTCATCCGCGACACTGAGTATATCCATAGAGAGGAAACAAGTAAAGAAAACGAAACATTTGAGAATTATGTAGGTTAGACAGATTAAGAGAACAAGAGAAGTTGGAATATAAGGAAGAAGCAAAATAAAAGGAATTGTGGAAGCCTTAATAAACATATTTGGATCGGTAAAATTGTTCATACCTCTCACTAGGAATAGAGGGAACATGATAATGTTATTAATTTTATTGCTCATGCATGAAAGATAGTTGATTCAATCTATAGATGTAAATTGCGCAGTATTTAAATGTAAGAATAGAATTATGATCACAGTATGCAACAAATTCAATTTGGAAATGCCAAATTATATATAATATTTGTTCGGAGGAGGACAGATTTAGTTTAACGAATATATGCCCTAGATTACTACCGGATAGAAAGAAAGAAATTTGCTTGAAACAAATTGTTTAGTTTAAATTACACCATTATGATGACTTATCGGCGGTGTTTAGATAGTTCTTCAAGGAAGAAGAAAGATGTTAAAACCGTTATATCAAAGAAGAAAATAATGCAATTTGTGAAGACATGATGATATGACAAAGCATATGATGAAAGTGGAAATTCAATTGTGACTATTAGTAATAACTTTATCCTAATATTATTCTTAATATCAATATTATGTTATTTTCATTTAAATGTTTTTTATTAGCCATTTCTCGCTTTAATTAATAAAAAAAAAGTTAAAAAATGCGTTGAATATATAATTATTACAATAAAAAAATTATGCTAAACAAACTTAAATACAGGTCCGGGCTGCGGTCCTTGAAAAATGACCAGTCCGTCAAACAATCCTTGTCTAAGACACTACACTACCCCCCACAACCTCTTACTCAGTATCCATATTAAGAGAAATCATTTTCTTTCATGATCACGAATTGGTGCTAATGGTCACACTTTACTTTATTTATAATACGATTTTTTTATACGTTGCTTTTAGGTGAGATCATTGCAAACTAATCTGTGCTTGGAGGTTAATCAAGACGGCAATTCTTTGATCGCTAATACATGTGCTAAAGATGATCCATCTATACGAGCCGAACAAGTATGATTTTTTATAATCTCACTTCGAAAATTTTTATTATAATATATATCAGACCCAATTTTAGCTTCACCCATTGGGGGGAGAGGCAAAAATTTTGAAGAGACAGTTAAATTTTAAAGAACTAATATTTGAGTTATTTGAAAACAAAATTGAAATATATATTGATTTTATTTGAAAAATGCAACATGTAAAAATATACAAGAAATAATTATCATCAAATATGTTTATAAAATTAGATGGAAAAGTATTTATAAAACTTTAAAGAAAATCATATTCATTATTAGTATCAGTCTTTTTAAGTTTTGGTAATACCTGATTTAGATCAGTTGGTTCTAAAAAATATTTGAAATAAGAATAACTAATAAATCTAACTTCTTCTGTTTGTTTTCAGAAGCTCCAGCTCATTTTCTTCTGAATGCACCTCAATCATTTTCACCTTTATCCATCAAATTAACTACATTTGCATTTTCTCATTGTTCTTCATTACACATGGGGTGCAGTTGGCCCTCATTTCAGCTATTGTTGTTAAAAAGCCCGATGCGGGTCTATTTATAAAAACGGCTCGATTAAAATTTTAGCCAAAATAATATTATGTAAGCTGGAGATTTTGCTCATAGATGGCAGCAAGGTTTGGACCTCTATTTGCCAAATATCGTGGCTTGCATAATATTATTTTGGCTAAAATCTCAATCGGGTCGTTATAGGTTAGGTTCATGTTAGCCTTTCTCTTTGACCACTCTTCAAATTTTAAGAAATAACCACGCTATTGAAATCATTGTCGAATAAGGATTTATCTTGGAGGTATTGATACTTTACGTCAGGCACGTAGCCAATGGGGGGGGGGTGAATTTCACCCCTTATCGCAAATTTGCCTGTTCTCGTAAATATCTATTTAAGTTAATAAGATTTTTCCCATACACCTCCCTCCCTAAAATAATATATACAATGTATCATTATAAGGAAGAATTTGAAAGGAGAATTAGTAAAAGTTAATAACTTTTTAAAATAACGATTATAATTTTAAATTTAAAAAAAAAAATATTTTAATAAAAAAAGAAATGAAACCTAAAATATTTTTATAAAAATCTAATATAGCCAAGGGCCTACAATAAGTGGATCTAAAGATCGCTAATAAATTTCATGGGGAATAAATTCATCTAAAGTGCTTCCACCTCCCCCTTAGCAAAATCCTGGATGCGCCTATACCTTAAGTTATTCGTAGCTATCTCCAATATCTATATTTATAATACAGTCAAATTTTAAGTCAATTCCTCCAAACATCTGAATGGAAAGAAAGATCATCAGTTCTGAATTACTTTATGGTCGATTTAAACAAAAAATAGTAACAGAAAAAATATTTTAGAAAATTTGAAAATAAGGCTTCGGCGTTGGTATGTTCATTTACTGCTTTTTTTTCGCTTTTATTTCACGAATTATCTAATCATTATTTTTAAAATGACTATCTCATTTTAGTAATTAAAAAATGATGATTGGGCTTTCTTGTAATATTTTCCCTTTAGGATTTAGAATTTTGGATCCTTACGATTTTTTGTAAACCTTCCCTCCCAATATTAGTTCTTAATTTATAGTTGTGAAGGTCACCAATATTGGCCACCTGATTTTAAAGGTCTTCGAGTTTCCGTCCTGCTCAGACCCACATTGGCTGTCTTTATATTTAAGATATCACTCTGAGCGTGTATTTTATTCCAATAATCTTGACCCGGTCCAGATCGTGCATGGCCACTCATTTCCCAACCATTCGAGACTTTATAGTCTCGAGCAAGTAGCAAGTTGATTATATTCACAAGGTCGGTTTATTATATGGTAATTTAGTCTTCATTTAATTTTGTCGCTGCGCATTTCAATCATAAATTTACCAACTTTCTTAAAAAAATATGCTTATTTTAAAGTTTTAAAATAAATCAAAAAAATTTTTTTAATGTAATAAATAGCCTTTTCTCTTTCGCGATATTTAAAAATTTTTTTAATAAAAATTAATAATTATGCTTTATCTGTAATTGGTAAACTTACAATGCTGTGAATAGTCAAAATGAAATTTGTAATAACTTTTGACTATATTTGGGAACAGTTGGGATCCATTATTGCTTACGAAAAATATATCAACTTTGGACTCAGTAAGAAAGAAGTCGCTATGCTTTGTAGTGAATTAAAATTAAAAGTAAGGAGCACCATCTAGTGTTGTTAATTAGCCGGAGTCAATTCGTGATGTTGATCTTTACTATTAAACCTTCTAAAACCATGTCAGACCGTGTGAGCACATAATGTTAAAAGATAGAGGCAAATAGGCCAAAGATTTGGATATTTAGAGAATTTGCACATTTAAAAATTTAGTTGTTTGCTAATGCCGAATAATATTTTTATTTTCAAGTATTAAAGTATAACCTGCACCTGCAGAATGCCATTTGCATGGCCCAGCACGTATTTTTTTTTTAAATTAAGACCCGGCCCCTATTTTTTTAAATTATATTATATTTATTTTTATAGATAATAATGGTGATTTAAATTAACGGCCCAAGTATTTTTAAATTTCTAGGCCCGGTCCGGATATTTTAAAAAAATTAAAATACGGCCTTCCCATGTATTCGGGCCGGGTCTGCAGGTCTTTGGTATATGAAATAAAATACCATGTATAATTATATTTGTTTTGGTTTTAATTTTTCAGTGATTATATATGGCCTTAGCTTTAATCAGTCGGGTATATGGCTCGATCAAGCTAATTAATAACACTAGTACCCCCATTATGCTTCAAGCCGCCCATAAATTTTTATAATATGTAAATATAACTTATAATCGCTTTCACTGACACATCTTAAATAGGCTTTCGTTTGGAGTTATAAGCAGGACATTCACGTCTACGGCAGTCACTCTTGTTTAGATGCTAACTCCTTGACTTTTCCCTCCGTCGATATTAGAAATTGCCACGGGGGGATGGGTAATCAATGGTGGAATTATTTGGCGGTTTTTTAAAAAAAATTTTTTAATTTCTTCACGATTTTTATCACGCTTTCACAAAAATATGCGCTTTAATAATATGTATGTAATGTGTTTTTTTCTCCTCGGCAATATCCTTATTTTCAAGCTTTTCCAACTTTTTTTAAATTCGAAAAATCTGATCTTGCCCCGGAAAATATATTCTAGCATTTAAAGAATACTTTTACCCTATGATTAGAGACAAAATTTACCATAAAACTTTGAGACATTAATTAAAACAAAAGTTTCTAGCAAAATTGTTTGAAATTCACTATTATATCTGCTTGAACATTTTCCGATAAAATCTAATTTTTCGGATTTAAAAAAAGTCCTTTCATAGATGATTTAAATTTATAATATGTTAAAGCTTTTGCCGGAAGAAAAACCATTAAAGCTAATATATACAATTATTTCCGCTTCTTTGCATATCTTTTATCACGGCTGTATGGCCATATTACACCTCTCCCATCTGTCCGATATCTGCTTTGATTTTTATAGTATTATTTACCGACCTCGAGTTACCCGTAATAGTATTTTATATTCTATTATGCCACAAATAAATTCTTATCTAAAAAAGTATGAAACAGATTAAAACGTTATGTTTTCCATGTAGCATGGGTAGTTTACTTATGATTTATAATGACAATTAAATTAAGCAAAATATCACCATGCCCAACTTTCTCGTAAATAAAATATATTTTAAGTATTTTTAAAAAACTAATCAACACCAACAAATAAATATTCTCCGGAGATTTAAATGGAAATATTGTAAAATTCGCCGGATTAATATTTTATATGAAATAATTTTCATAAACAAAATAGCACTGTTAATGGAAAAATATTAAAATGATTACTAAAAAATAGATTAAATTGTTATCTTCTTTCAAACCTGCAAAAAAAAAAATAGAAGACACATTTGATTGATTTAATTTATTCTAATTTGATAACACAAATATTAATGCGATTTCCCTTTTAAAAAAACTTCTTTTCGGGAATTTTTTTTTCCTTAGAAATAAGAAAATCTAATAAAATCCATTCTCTTAGATATTTATATGGCGATGGCGTAGAGATATTAAGCTCAAATCCAAGGAACTCTGCTTGGACGTAGCGTTTTCATTGCCCAAGACCAAGGTCGCCCTTTACCCCTGTCACGGGATGAAAGGAAATCAATGGTGGAGATATTACCCGGTTAATATATTTTATAACTATATAATTAATATATTTGTTATTACGTTCTTTCAAAATGAATATAGTCAAAACATTGCTTGTTTTGGAAATTTCTTTTCCAAAGTCATTGAAAACATACCTCTGTCTTATTATATTTCGGGTTATAAATTTTTTAAATCCATTGGAATTCTCTAAATATTTTTAGATTTTTGTCGTCTCTTATGAATGAGATAGAAGCATTAGTCTCGATAATATTTTCAGTAGGTTAGGAGTGAAGTTTGTTTTTAAGGGGGTGGGGCGGTGCCTTTTGAATAATTCCTCCTCATTTCGATGCTAAAGACTTGTTTTTTTCCTATTTTAAGCCATAGACTCATGTTCTATTGCGAATTTTCATTACATGCATTTTAATCGTCACTTTTTATCATCACATTATAAATAGGGCATCAATCGCGTCTACCATCAAACGACTAAAATGTGCCTCGATTTCGACAAAGACACTAAGGACATATACGTAGACGTCTGTCAATCCCATCTTGACTCACAGCAATGGGCCTTCTCCACTTACAACTCCACTATCATTGCAAACTTAGCATGAAAGAAATATAAATCCATTATAAAAAATATATAAAAAATCGATAGTGACATCAATCTAATCAAACTATAAAAATAAACAGCCAAATCTAAATAAGTACCAGATATTTTCCTTAATTCGAAAACTATTTATGTGATTATTTTAGTTCACTTAATTAACTAAAACAAATATTCTATTTTTACAATAAAAACACCCTCCCCCCTTCTCTCACAGATAAATCTTTATAATTTCACGCAACACGTTAAAAAAAATAGCACGCCATTATAAAAGGCATTCACGCTTTATCAATTTATATGTCTTACCATATACACTGCACCTTAAACATTTCTTATTTTTTTCAAATTATTCAGTTCTGCGATATTTATATATCTTAAACTTTAGAAGGCACGTACAAGGAATTGATTAATCGCAGAGAGAGTTAAGAATTTTGCGGGAAAATTTTAATATTCGATTAAGGAAGAAAGACTCAATACGTGGCCATGTTTTTTTATTTTTTTAAATAAGTTTAAAATTATTGAGTTGTTTTAGTTTTATTCGGCGATTTATAATAAGCAGTCTTAAAGTTACAAATATTAAAGATAATACTTTAGATAATTATTTAATTTTCCTTAGGGATATTTTTTGAAAGGGGTCCTTAAATATGTTTTTCTATTTATTAATCCTTTCATTTTTCATCAATAAATTTTGGGAGATGTTTTTTTTAAATTGCAATTTTATTTAATGCAAATTCTGTTATAGTTAACTTTTAGAAAAATTTGAAAAATATATTTTAAATATTTTAACAACAATTTGATGAAACTGTGATCATAAAAAAATAAGATTAATTTTTTTTCTTCAAATATAATAAATAAAAATTAGATAGATTAGTGAAAAGGATTTATTTTAAACCATGATTTAACAAGAACATCTATGAAATTTATTATAATTTAATTTAATAGTAATAATATATTATAATGATCCCAGCTCCATTTTACCCCCGCTATCATAAAGGAAAAAAAATTGTTAATATATTATTGTTAATTGTTTTTTATAACATTTTTTTCTTCCACGTAATTTGCATAAACTTGAATTTCTAAAAAAAAAATTGTCAGTTTTATAGAGATGCACACGTAATATTGATTTATCCTCGTTACTTATACTAAATAAATATATACGAATAATTAAAATAAAATTTCAAGATCAATTAGTATAGCTTGATAGTTGATATGAATGAACGATAATAGGATGAAAATTCATTTAAATTAACTATCAAATATTAATATAAATCAGCTGATAGCACCCCATTTTTGATTCCCATATGAACAATTTACATTAATAAAAACATTTTTTAAAATTAGTTTCATTTGTAATAAAAAATTATACGGAACCTAAATTGCATGTCGCCAGCTTATTTATATTGAACGACACTTCATAGTACATTTTAATGAATGGATCATCATTCCAGTTAATTATTATATGTTATTCGTTGGTGTATAACTTTTTTAAATAAAATAATGTTTTTTAAAATAGTCTAGGACGCCATGTTTTTGAAAAAAATCACCATGTTACTAAAAATTTCGCTATTATATTGAATATAATGTCGTTTTAAAAAAAAGATTTAAATTAATTTATTTTTATATTTTGCTGTTAAGGATCATTATTTGCTTCAACATCTTGGGTTCAGGAAATGTTTAGATATTGATTTAGGTACACGTAAAGTGGTGCTGAATGAGTGTTCCATATTAGCTCCTACCCAAAAATGGACTTTTGAATGGCTCAATTATACGAGACTCATGGACATGCCAGCATTTAACACTTTTTGAAATGTACACTCCCTCTGTTTTCTTTATTTTCGATCAAAAATAATTCGTTTAAACGAGTTTAATTAATTAGGTTAATTTTTTATGCTTGTATGTGGATATAATACAATATTGTTACATTCTTAAAATATAAATATGTAAAGTATATGAATAAAATGATTGTTATATTGCCAATATAATATATAGATTGGGCCATGGAAAAATGATAATTGATCTTACTAAGATCCATATTGAAATTTTATGGCCCAAAGGGTGCAATTTTAATGATGAAATCTAAGTGTTTTTCTAGTAATTTGAACTTCACTCAATTAATATGATGAAATTAACATTAGGAACCAAAGACATTAAACGAAATGTTCTGGACACGTTCCAGGAAGAGAACCTGGGCGAAATCATAGAAAGGTATGATTTCGTGAAAGGTGATTCTAGGAACGTTGCGATAATATGAATTTTTTTATTTGTTTATAAATAATTATAAATATAATATTATGGTTCATTCATATATATTCTTTAATTCCTTCGAGTAACAATACTATTACTCATTAGTAAGTATTTTTAAGTTTATAAAAACATCTAAAATAAACATCAAATCTGAAATAATCTCTTATAAAATTAAAACATATATAAAGTTTTAAATTTTACCAGATAGTTTTGATATAAAGTAGGTTGAGAAGTGTTTTGTGAATCAAATTTATATTAATGCCACTGTCTAAATTGAAATGAATAATATTTTAGAGAATTTTTAATTTAGATTTAATAATTGATATTACATTAAAAGGTTTAATAAAATAGGGAAAATAATTATATATTTTTTTAGGAACGCGTTCCGAAATGTGTAACAGAACGGGCCATATTTCCAGAAACAAAACCCTTTTTCCAAGATATATATGTCGTGTTTCTTTGAAAAAGGTTTGTTGGCGCCCTTGTAATAGCTATATTACACGTTTTTTTATTCTAGATAATCGTTGTCTTGTCAATAGAGACTTGACAGCGGAATTAGAACCATAATAGTGCTCATTCCTTTTAATGGCTTTATAGTCTTTAAGGGCAGGTGGATTAGAAGGAATAAAGGGCTACCATCAAAATTTTTATCGATAAATAAATGCAAACAACTTTTCTAAAAAAATTTCAAGTAAACAGCGTTATTAATTACTTACACAAATTATACTATAAATAATACATAATAAAATGGTTTTATCATATCAAATTTATCCAAACGCGTCACTAACCTTTTAAAATTAATCAAAAAAATTAGATATAAAATTCATAAGGGCTTAGGGGTTTATGACTCATCCACGATTCGGCCGACCACTTTCGATTTTTTTTATAATTTGGTAAGCAATTAAAGGTCTGTAATTAAGAAATAGCCAAAAATTTAACTCCCTATCATATATATTTTTGAAGATATTAGGGTTCAAAGTCCCAAAAATGATGTATTTTTACCATTATCTGCCTTCTTTTGAAACTTATCTTAAAAACTACATAAGTGTAAATATCAGATTACGTATTAAGATTATACTTTTAGATAAAAAAATTTAATTTTTACAATTTCCGGCCATTTTATTTAATATATAAGAATTAAAAACGATTTTTTAGAAAAAATACCAGCTTCAATTTTTATAAAAAATTTAGAAGACATTACCAAACTTTTTTTATATTTATAAAAAAAAATTCGGTCTGTGACGCGGCCAGCTTTATTCTCAAAATCGATAACAATGATTAGAAAATTATATAAATATTTTCACAAAATGGTGAATCTTTGTATAAAGTATCGTGTAGATCATGGTTTAATGGGTTTTCTTAACATATTTGATATATTTAAACAATTATTCATCTTGTAAGTGAAAATAATATTCAGCGGGTATTTTAATCATTAAAAGAAATTCAATTTATTACAATGATTTATAATTTATTACAAAATTATTTATTCATCCATATAACATTAATGAATCTTAATAAAATATATGTTCAATCAAGTTTAGAGTTCTTGAATCAGAATCTTGAGTATAAAGGTGAGAAAAATTACGAATTTCGGAATGTAGATTTTTTAAATTGTTAATATCTTAAATCGAAAGAAAAAAATGGCGCCAATTTGAGTCTTTAGTTTCTGGCTTACGTTTACACCTGTTTTTAAGCAATAATGGAAGTTTGTTTTCGGAAAAAAATTTTGCCTTTCCTTTTATATATATATGTTGTATTCCATATCAAATCAACTGAAGATTTAACCCGACTCTCTTCGATTTTTTTTAAATTTTGTATGATGATAGTATATACACTAAATAGTAAGAATATAAAATTTTAATTTCTCAACTCAGCTTACTTCATGAGATATGGCCTTTAGAAACGCGGAAATTCCAAAATACCCTACTTAATTTAAATATCTCATAAGGCAATTAAGCTAAAGACATCATTTAATTCTTATTAAATAACTCTAGATTAGCCCCTTAATATGATAAAAAATTTATTTTATTAAAAATAAGTCTAATAACAAAAACCGGAAATGGCTATAAACTAAGAATTACTCTTTTTTTCTTTCAAATTTTTTTTACAGATAGACATTATATTTCTTAATGTTTGTACAAAATCTTAGATGGGACGAGTATTGGGCCAATATTTATTACACTTTAAATATAAGTAGTATGGCTTAAATTATACCAAATATAGAGTAATTATTTTTTTAAAAAAAGTGGGCAATATGTGAATAGCAAAACTAAAATCCTAATCTGATTATTTTGCGTTTTTTTAAATATTAAAAAAGCAAAACATTTACCAAATTGTATTGTCTTATTTTAAATATAACGCCTTAATTTGGAAGCATTATAAGGAATAATTAATAAGATTTTGTAAAAAGTAAAATAAAAAGTGAGCTCAATAATCTATTCACCCCACCTAAAGATCTATTTTGTCAAAAAAATTTATTCTTAAATTCGAGAATTTTGACCTGGCAACTCTGTGAGTGGATGAAGTAGTTTATTTTTCATTGCCGGATAATTAATTATCTTTGTGATCGTCAGCAATATATTTTCATTTTAAAGATTATTTTATTCTACTTATAATTGTCAAACAAAATAATTATATTTGGCATAAAGTTAATATTCAAAATTAATTACAACAGCAACAGCCGTTATTTTTATTGATTATTTTTACATAGCCATTTCTCTAAGAAATTAAATTAACGTATTCATTATTCAATTTATTAATTTAAAAAATATATAAAATTAATAAGCATCTTTTATTTCTTACCAAAAGAATTTGAATGTCTACAAAAGTTATTTCAATTCCAGTAGAGTGCTGTAACTCCTTTCAAATAAAATCTCTTCAATACTTTACGATCTTCGAGGTGTTTTACAGTAGATGATACAAGTGTATTCTTTCTTATCAATTAATCAAAATATTTGTATTTCTTGCCGGAAAAAATTTAAAAAATATTTAACAAATCCCATCTTACCTTTTACTTCTACGATCCCTATCACATTACCTTTTATTTGTAACTTATCTTCTACCTCATCTAATAATGAAACATTTAGCGTTCTGAACCTCGTAAAACATGCAATAATCCCGAATCTTATACAGATTTTAATACTTCAACTTTAAATGAAATTTTGCCATTTTTAGGAGAGACACAATGTATCATTGGAGAGACAGCTATTAAAAAGAAAAGGTTAAAAAAATATCCTGTAAATAGATTTTTGAAAATTCAGGGAAAAATTAAAAATGTTTTTAAAATAAATCTAGAGGATCAAGCAAAAAAAGATGAAGCCGAAATCATAAATCAACTGAAATAAAAATTTGCAAATTTTCGCAATGAAATTACAAATTTAACAATTTATCAAAATCTTGAACGCTTGATAAAATTGGAAGGAATTTTCAACCGCAAATATTATGGCCCGGAGAGCTAAACAATTAGTTGAAGAAAAGAGTGTTCTGTATAATCCAAATATCATAAAACAATTCTGGATGACGTTGCAAATAAAGTAATAGAATTTTATAATTCTGACGAAAACAGCATACTTATACCAGGTATGAATAATTTTATATCAATGAAAGTTAATGGAAAAAAGAACCAAGTGTAAAAGAGGTATTAGTTATATGTAATATAAAAGAATTAATTACCAATTTTAAAGAAATAAGCAGTAATATAAAGATAGGTTTTAAAGTTTGCTATTATGAGACCAAAAAACTGTATTTTAACAGGTGGTCTGAACACATATAATATCCTAATTTTAAATATAATTGCTGGTAAATTATATCAGTTAGCTAACCAGCATAACTATTCATTTCCTCCCTTAAAAGATTATAAACAATACATTTCACAAAGTCTATGCAATCCAACCCAGCCTTGCTGTTACTTTAGGAAATTGTAAATGTTTCCAGGCACTTTGGAACTTATAGAAAGACTACATTTATTGTTTGATAATAATGCCATTGAATATATAACATTTAAACAATGGTTGGCAGCTGACCGTACTACACTCGAAACTTTAACAAAGTCCGTCAACGAATTTGTGGGGTATTTGATTGAAAAATTAAATATTTTAATTCCTCATGCATTTATTTCTTCGGAACAATCTTCATTTTTTAAGTCATTAAATCGAATTTGAAGGATGGGGAATATCTAATAACATCCGATTTTGCAGAGAACTACGCTTTTGTAGTTCAAGATAACGCTCAAAGATTTCATTGAACTAATAATCAGGCAACAGATTTATTACCGTGAAAGCGATATCATCTTTAAGTTACTTATAGTCTAAAATACAATACTTGTTCCTTTTATTTATTTCAAATAAAATTAATTGTATTCATGAAAGAAAGATTTGATACGATTTCAATAATTTTTTATTTTTCTGATGGAGCTGTTATAGTGCGCACAAATTGAGTTCAACACTCCGTTTTAAAAGCAAATAATGCATTTTAAATGGTGTTGTGCAAATTGGATTTTTTTACGGCAAGCGTTAAAAAAAAAGCAAACTAGTTTGATTTTTTTATGCGTTTTTATTTCGCGCCAATATATATTTTTAATTTTATTTAGTGATTTTATATAATTATACATATTGTAATATATTAAAAATATTTAATAAACTTTTTTAAATTTTAAAATGGAAACAAATGCGAAATTGTAAGTTAATTATTTTACATTTATATAATTATTATGTTATTTAGAGTGTGGGACGACATAGTGACAAAAAAATTCTGTGCCTTATTAGAGAGTCAAGAAATGATCTGGAATCAGCAGCATCCAGACCATAAAAATTCTACATTAGTGCTAAATGGTTTATCATCCATTAGCCAAAGGTATAAATATATATATAAGATTAAAGAAATTATATTTTTAATAGCATGGAAGTTGAATTTCCTCAGCATGATACAACTGTGTCATGCATAAAGAAGAAGATGAAGAACTTCAAGGATTTTTATTAAAAATATTTATATTTTTGTAATATTATTGTAAATATATATATTTATATATAAAACAAAGTAGTATTCAATATTAATAGTGTCCATTTTTCAAAAAAATATATAAATGAGCTAACTATCATTTGGCATTTTTATTAAAATATATAGTTTTTTAATAAAATAGGATATCAAATTATGAAAGAATGTGATTGAATTAACATTTATGAAAATCTAATAAATAAAAATATCAGGGATATCATGGTTGGGAGAATTGTAAATTTAAGATTAGTAAGTATATATATTATAAATTTTGAAACAATAATTAGAGATCTTGATGCCTTTCTAGGAATATATGCCAATGTTTATCACAAGCCCTTTGCAATTTTTTTTAACCATAGTTTAGGCAATATTATCTAGAAATTAATGTAAAAAGAATAATAGTGTATGATTTTTTAAGATATTGACTATTTATATAGAAAATATTTACTATGTTTTATTGAGCTAATTTTTTGACATCACCTTATGTGATTATAATAGAAAAATTATTATTCAAAATTTATTAAGCATTTTTATTAATATATGTAGATTATAAATAAAAATATATTAAGATAAAATAAATAATAATATAAAATCATTTATGAATTTAAAAAAATTTTGAATGAATTTCTGATATTCCTTGCTTCATTAGATGATGCATTATTGTCCCTAATAACAGACATAGGTCTTACATTCAAGTTCGTGATATCTGTAAATATATTTTTTAAAATAACAAAATATAGATTTATCCATTTATATTAAATATTTTTTAAATACCTATCTGATCAACATCATCAGGTAAGCCCTCCAAGGATATGATAATGTTTGTAAAATACATATAGAATGTAGGAGAAAGTCGTTCTCCTCATCCTTGTATAATTGAAAAATTGGGATGGAGTAAGATCTGCTTTTATAGTAATATACTCTGAAAATAAATTTCTCTCCATAAATATTTTTGAGGTCTTCCTTCTTCTCTTTGTAGATTTCCTTCTCTTTAGTAAATATAAAGCAATTAGTTGCTTATCTTGTAAATTAAAAAATTCCATATTGTTTAATAAAAATGTTTTCAATTTTACGTCATAATAAGCGCAATTGCCCTTTATCGCTATATGAAACAGCAGAGCTATGCTTGGACTATCTCATCCCATCTAATTGGGTTAAGAAATTTGGGGGTAACCTATGAGATGAGCCCATCCACAATTTTTGGGCAGGCTGCAGTTACCTGTGCGCGCAAGAGGCGAAACCACTTGCTTAAACGCCTACGGGAGATAAGAAGAGAGAGAAAAGCCCGTACCCGATTAAGTAAGATGTATATTATAGGGAGGGGTATTGGTAAATTTTAAGTTTATGGTCTATATTGAATTTGTTTACTAACTCAACTTTGCTTTTTGTAAATCCATGTGAAGGAATCTACTATCAATATTGAGATATAATGTTCATAGAATCTGTAAATAAATATGATTAAAATATAATTTTATCACTTGAAATTTTTCTACCGGCTGTTTTCAATTTTAAAATAAAGAAAAAACGTACTGCTTTCAATTTAAACACAGATGAGTTACGTTAAAAAACGTACTGCAAGCGCAAACGTTCAATTTGTGCGCACTATTACCCAGTATAAAAACAAAAACTTTGTAAAACTATGCAACCATTATAATGATTTTGGGATCAAGGCAGAATGGCATTTTTTTGCAACTGGACATGGCAAAACTCCTTGAATAGTTTAGGGGAAATTACTGAGGGGCGACTAGAGCAAGCCTACAACGTCCTTATAAAAATCATATACTAACTCCTATGAATTTATATAATTATGCGAGAACTAATCCGGGGATTAATTACATATTTGTCAGCAACGTTGAATATTTAAGAATGGAAACCAATCTCAAAAATATATTTTTAAAGGCCAAACGAATTCCCGGGACCCAAAAATATATATCATTCATTTATTCCAATGGAAGGAAAAATGAAAGTCAAATTTTATTCTAATTCATTAGATTAATGTATGATATTATATAATTAATATGTTTATTACAATATTAATTTCCCATTGATATTCATTTAATATATATAATTAGCTAAACAAAGTTATAAATATTTTTACAATTATATTCATTAAAAAAAATAGCTAACTTATGTGTTGAATATGACACAATGTCTACTAGTGATCTGCATGGGGCCTAATTTTTCTAACACGGCCAGAAAAAAAACTATATCCAGCCCGATCCCAAACAAATTTTCTTAATATTTGTTTCGTAAATTACTATACATTTGGCATAGTGTTGTTAAAGTTACTTTTGAAACATAACTAGTTACAGTTACTAGTTACATTGGCAAAAATATAACTAGTTACAGTTACTAAATGTAACTAGTTGTTACAGTTTTTTCAAAAGTAACTAGTTACGTTATAAGTTACTATATACATCATTCATATAACATCTTTATTTACTGAATTTATTTAATATAAATAAATTATGATATACAAATTAGAATCATTTGTTTAAAAATAATATACAATTTATTTGTATAAAAAAATAAGTAAATCGAAAAAAATATCGGAAAATAGAATATTTATATTTACATCGAATAAAAATATCCTATATATTTGCATTGAAAAAAAAAACATATTTATTTTTCATAAAAATTTGAGTTTAATAAATGTTTATTTGCTTTTAACGACAATTGGATTTCAAAATGTTTATCTGGGAGACGCGCTCGTTTCTCTCCAAAGATGAGCTTTCCTAGACTGAATAAACGCTCTACAGGAGCACTTGACAGGGGCGTCGCTAGCCTTTACAATCTCAGAGGGCTTAACTAAAAAATTATTATGGGGGGCGAAGCCCCCATACCTTCCAATTTGCGGGCCTTAGGTCCGCTTTTGCACGGCCTTCGGCCGGGTTTTATATTAATATTACTTTTTTAAAATTTACTAACCCTAAATAATTAATCTGACTGTCATTTTTTATATTTTGCATACAAAATAAACTAGCATATAAAAAAAATATTTTTTAATAGAAAATCTATTTATTACAGTATAAAATATTTTCAATGTGAAATTATTTTGCGTCTAAAGAATAATAAATAATAATAAAAGGTTAATTAATTCATATATGCCTCAATTGATAATAGTTTGTGAAAACTACATAATATATTATAATTCTTAGCATCTTACATTGACAAAAGGTCATGAAACTAATATAACTCCCTATTACCATTTTAGACAATGTTTTAAGAATGGACTATTAAGAAAAAATTCATAGACCTTACCAAATCTATAATTCTCGAAGAAGAGAATATAAACTACCAATCCAAATCATAAAACTATATGGTGGTTAGAGCTTCCTCTTAGATAACATGATGGAAGCTAGATAATTAATAAAATTAATTTATAAATTTAATAAAAAATTAACATAACCATATTCCCATTTTTTTTAAATTTCCTTCCAATTTATTTAAAATATATTTTGCAATTTTTTGACCAAGCAACAAGCATTATATTTGTTTTAAGATTGATATGGACATCAGAAAATATCTTTTAAAGAATGTAAATGAAAAAGGTAACTCTATATTTATTATAATAAACATTAATTTCCTATCAAGATCATCATCGCAATAAAATTGATTCAATTTCAAGTGAAAATAGGGTATCAGAAATATTATGTAACAATCATGAAAATATATCAAAAAAGAAGGAAATTAGAATAAATTTAACAAGGATTGATGAACGTATATTTTATATTTATAATGAATTTATATATCTTTTTTAAGTAATGTTGCTGGGAGATAATAATTCTCTAAATATAAGAGACTTTGAAGTAAGAACTATTTGAATATTAACATAATTATTATTATTAGTTGTTATTGATTCTCAAAAAGATGATCAAATATTAGAGATTGTGCTAGAGAATGAGAAAAGTAATCCTATCATCCAGGTAGTCCCTCCCAATAGGTATTATATTTTAATATCATTATGTAATTTGCATTTTTTTAAGTTAATGTTGTTGATGAAAGATCTGAAGTAAATCTTATACAGTCAAGAGTTCAAAATATGGATAGTAAAATTTATATTTTAAAAATATGTAAATAGTTTATTTAGGTACTTTACCATTTGACATATATATACTAGAGAGTATATATAGGCCACCCAATAATTATAAATTTCTAAGAGATTTTTCTAGAAGGAAATTAAAATTTCAATTTAATTGGTCTACCACTTGGCCTTGGTTGGCTTACTCACCTTCACAAAATGGGGCTTATTGTAAATAATGTGTTCTATTTGAACTAAAATATGCTGGTAAAGGTGAACAAAAATTAAAGCGACTTGTGAATCGCCCATATAGACGTTGGAAAGATGCATGAGAAAATTTTGAAAATCATCAAAACAATTTATAGCATAAAAATACACAAAATATTATATCATCTCTTAGAGCAATTAATGATAATGATAGAGATTCTATCATTCATATAATAGGTAAATTATTTAAAATTATTATAAGAGACCCACAAAGGTACCAGTTTAATTGGCCAACCTTTTGGGTTTCATATTTTATGGCCTTATAATTATTTATTTTTTATAAAGACCAAGGTAAAAAGAAAATAACAAATGAAAATAGACGAAAATTATCTCCTATAATAGATGAAATAATTACATGTGGAAATCAATGTATGGCATTAAGAGGTCATCGAGATTCAGGTTGTATATTTAAGGATGATACAAATGAAAATGATGGGAACTTTAGAACTATTCTCAGAAACCGAGCAATTGGAGATGATGAGCTCAGGATTAACTTGTTAAATGCACCGAAAAATGGTACGTATTTAAGCCCCACCATTCAAAACAAAATAATTGATGTGTGTAATGATTTAATATTAAGAAAGGTAGTTGCCAATATTAACAAGTCTCCATTCTTTTCAGTCTTGGCAGATGAATCAACTGATATATCTGGCATAGAGCAAATGTCCTTGTGTGCTCGATATTTATATTCTGAAAATGGTAAAATTTATATTTATTTTCCCCTCTAGCGACGTCACTGATTGATGTAATAACAACATTATATTTAATAAAGAGTATTTTAAATTTGAAAAATCGTCATATAAAGATAATATGGTGTTATTGGATTTAATAAAAATTTCATTAAATTCATCATTATCAATAATATTTTGACGCTTTAAATCAAAAAATCCAACTAAATCTAATGATGTTTGTTGCGAATGAGCCATTTTTGTTAGATTCACCGCGAGATATTGAAGTATTTATTAAATTTAAAATTTCCATTTTTTTTGATCTATTCGAGTAAAGTTTCATCCAAATGTTTTATATAAGCACTGATATAAATGTTTTTTAGACCAATGATTTATTAAATTTAATGAGATAAGAGAATATACATTACGAATTTATAATAATTAAGTTACAAAAAGTATGATCTGGTTACAAATTTTAAACCAAATTGATATAAATATCCTGATTTTTAGGTACTTAAAATCTAAAAATGTATTTAATATTAAATTTAACAAAGGATAAATTAGAAAAAGTTGCTCTATGCTTAGAGATTTAGACAAGGGTGTTAGTAAAAAAATAAATATTTATTTATTTATCATAAAATGATTGATATTTACAATATTTATTGACCTTAGTAGCCTTTAATGAATATTTTGGATTACCTTTTAATTAATATAATTTTTAGTTGAAATATACTTAGGTTTTTATCAACCTATTTAAATTGAAATGTCTAGAGAGATTATTGCTAAACATAGTGGAGAAAAAACACTTATAGTTTATTCTTACAATGCATAGGCGTAGCCAGTATTTTCCTAAGGGGGGGAGGGGGAATTGAAAAATTACTGGTGGTTTTACCCCCAGACTTCATTTTGGACGGGTCTTTGGCCTGCTTTTGGCCGGCCTTTGGCCGGGTTACCCTAGTCAATATATAGTCATTAAATATTTTTACAAGATAGAAGGTTAATTTTAATAATAAAAATAAGACTTGAACAATTATGAAATATATTTTTATTAGTTTATATATAATATAATAAATTACTTGTATATACATAATATAAAAGCATGGTAATAATTTATTCCAAACAAGTATCAGAAATTTATTTATAAAAAGTAAGTAGACATATAGTTGATATTCTTCTATTATAAAGAATTAGTTAAAAAATACTAGGTAAAATTTCACTTTTACAGACATATATGACAGTTAGGGATACAGTTAATATTTTAACAAATTTTACTAATCAAAGCTCTTGATAATAAATATAGCAACAATTTACATTCAATTATTTAACGCCATCTATTTATTTATAATAAAAATATTAATCTTCATATTAACACTAGGTTAATTAATATAATAAATTTCACCTATCCATATATTTTTTATATTTTTTTAACCCGCCTATAAAACTTCTAAAATTTTCCAACGATCAAACATTATTATGGACTTACAAGAAGATACGAAAATTGAAAATATTGAAGTTGAATTATCTGCTGAAATTGATA